AATGCAGGCATAAATGGGTGTATGGGTGGACATGGGTATAGAGACATGTACGTGTGTATATATGTGTACGTGCATATGTACGCATATGTATGTATGTATGTGGATATACTGCATATTATGTATGTATATGCATGTATGTGTGTGTATGTGTATTTGTGTGTGTATGTATGTATACATATGTGTGTATATGTGTGTATGTGTATATGTGTATACATATATGTGTGTAAATGTCAATTCTGGCTTGAGGCATTCGGATGTCTAGTCGCACTAAGCAGCTGTCATACGCTGAAACAGTACTATCTGCGAATGACATGTATATTGTGTGATAGAGAAGTTTCCGCGTCGCATAAAATCGCTCACCTCCAAATAAGTTATTGCAAATATTTATAATTAAAAACTTATCATATCTTGGACATTTTAGCAACCTGTAAATTACTATGAAAACATTTAATTACATTATAAACTCTCACAAAGATGACCGGATGAACAAGGAAAATCTGTTATTTGTCCAGTTAACTCTAAATCTGTTATTTGTCCAGTTAACTCTAAAGTCCGAGTGACGGAATAAGACGGACGAGACTAGACATTAAGTGCGTTTGTTATTGGCTGGGGTTGGCTGATTTGAAGTGTGTTAGTTGGGAATAAAATCCTATCTGAAAATATGCACATTAGGAGAATTATGTGAATCGATAAGACAGAAAATAAAAATGAAAGGAGGGTTATGGTTTGTATACCGTTTTTAGAAAGGATGATAAATTGGACAATTCTGTCAACGATTTTCTTCATTATATATTTTCAAATTCTCTTGCTTGTAGTACTTATTCTTTTACATGACGTAGTTTTTTCTAAATTTCAGGAAGTACTTTTACTACTGTTGTGATTTATTTCCCATATATTTATCGACACTTCCTAAAGTCAAAATAATGGAACAACCGTAAGAACCGAATTTATCACATTAACTAATAATCTTTTAAACAATCAGTTTAACCGACTACTGACGCTTGGTGACCCAAATATTATTTGTAACAGTTTGGCACATGATGACAGCGAGAGAAATGCTGAGACTACCATGGATTGAGTATCTGAGCCAAGCGGAAGTTTTATGAAAAATGATAACTGAAATATACTTCAGAGACAGTTGAAATGTTTGGAACATATATTGAGGAAATCGGTCTTCGTGAATTTGATATTCACAGGAGGTTGCTGGGGGTAACATCGACTAACCTACTACCCCAGCTTAAGTAAATGAATAGTGCAGATACTAAGTTGACATACATTGCTTACGGTTGCAAAGGATAGGAATTTAGGAAAAAAAGCAATCATCGCTCACATTCTTAAGTGACACGAGACATAAACGAAGATAGCTTATTTCTGGGACATAGCACTCGCTAAAGTATTAGGTAGGCGTTTAAACTATCCTTCAAAACATCGCACCAAAGTGTAGTAGTCTGAGTATAGTAATATTTAAGTGTTGATCACATGGCGAGAATTGAAAAATCTCGAGTATTATTCTTTTTAAATGAAACAATTGCTCAAGGGTGAAATTTGAACACATCTTTCACGATCTCGGCCACAACAGCAATCCTATATGCTATTTTCTACAAAATTCTTCTCTCTTTCTCTCAATTCTATTTCTGCTCTTGCTATCTCATTCCCGGTCTATTATTTTGCCTCTCTACCTTTTCAGTGTTTTTTTTTCGATTTTCTCTTCAGAATAATACATATTCAATTTCAGCGAATTATTCCCATAAAAATAATCCTACTTTTTTTATACCTGCTCACCCTTGTTTTCTTTTATTTAAAAAAATAGTATTCTACACTATCAAAATAACCAACCCCTTGGCAACAGCCAGCCACCGCCCACGTTTATTCTCTGTTAGCATCATAAAAACATTTGAAAAGTGCACTACAGTTCCACTGGGAGATTCTCAACGTTTTATCTAAAAGAATGGCAAATCAATAGATTTTTCAACCAATGTGCTTCGTGTCACTCACAGCGACTGACTCTGGGTCGCTGAAACCAGTCGATGTGTTTGATAACAGACCGTCTCCAAGTATCTTTTCTTTCTCTCTGATATTTAAAATAAAACAGACGACCACACACTCTCGTGTTCTCAAACTAAAGAGTCCAGCTGAATAATACAGAAATACAATTATAATCAATTTTATTAATGGATATTTTCACGTTTTAAAATGGACATTAACCAACTTCCAATAATGACAGAGACTTAGAATTTTAACAATAATCAGTATAACATATATTGTTTTAATAAATTTAAATACATTCATTTTTAATTTAGAGGAAAAAGCTTGATGAGCACCTCAACGTAGTATACTGTTCAGGTATCATATACCATTACTATCGTGTAATGGTATCTCCTATTATTATTATTACTATTGTGTAATGGTATCTCCTCTTATTATTACTATTGTGTAATGGTATATTTTTATTATTATTAATATTATTATTATTATTACTATTATTATATAATGGTATATCTTATTATTATTATTATTATTATTATTATTACTATTGTATAATGGTATATCTTATTATTATTATTACTATTATTATTACTATTATATAATGGTATATCTTATTATTATTATTATTACTATTGTATAATGGTATATCTTATATTATTATTATTATATAATGGTATATCTTATTATTATTATTATTATTACTAATGTATAATGGTATATCTTCTTCTTATTATTATTACTATTGTATAATGGTATCTCCTCTTGGTGCCACAGGTATGTAGCTTCTTGTCAAAAGCAAGCTATTTTCTATCTAAATAAATAAACTGTAAATTCTGACTGTCCGTCCGTGTATCTAAAAACCCTATAACTTGTCACATTTACTCTACATCTTATAACTTTTTGGAATCGGGATGATCCTGGGATTGATTTTGGTGCTTGAATATCCAACATTCGGATTTGTGTCCGGATGAGGAAGGAACAGTTATAAATTCAAATTTTAAAATAACTTATCAAAATTTATGATTCTAAAACTTTTTAGTTTATATTGAGCTTAAAGTAACACAAAAAACTTTCAATTTAAATTTAATTGTTTCTGTTATAAATTCAGTTTAAAATATCCCCAAAACTTTGGCAATTATGTAAATGAGTTTTATCTCTTCAAAATGTCAAAGAATCGGTGTTACATTGAGAGGTTTCATGACGACGAGCGGTTTTGAACTTTGAGGAATTTGTGATTTGAAGAAGTCGATTTTCGGGCTGAACATATGAGTAACAGTGAAGTTTTGGAGGTAGCTGAAACACGTAATGAGAAAGGAAGGCTTGGAGAATCTGATAATCGCAAGGCGGATAGCGAGAAAGAGATACATGGGGACGCAACGCGGTACATACCTAGTGGGTTTAAGCAAGTGAATGAAACGATAAGTAGCAAAAGAACAAAACATATTGAGAACTACAGAGGGTAGAGGGAAGTGGAGAGAGCCATGATCGTCCACGTCCTGAAAGGACATGGCACATAAAAAAGAACACCAACATCTTCCGATGTTGTGTAAAAGAACAAATTGCATAGCCTAGGTTCAATTTCCTTTTCTTCTATACTAAATTTCTAATAACTGAACCATACACCAAAGTATTTGACGTTCTGTGTATTACTATAAACTACAAGCGCGTCCTGGGAAAAACGATAAACTACATTCAACAGCAAGGCCTCTGATCAGGAGGTTTTGAGGAACGTGGAATCATCTCTTAATTGCTGGTGGTCTCAGGTTCAATCTGATCCGGAGTAGTAGCACCTGTTAGGGTCCCAGCTATGGTCAAATAGTTAACCCCCAAAATGGGGTCAAAACACTATGAAATAAATTTTAGAATAAAAAAAATTATTACCAGCAATACATTTTTGAAAAAAATATTAACAGCAATACATTTTCTGAAAAAAAATATTACCAACAATAAATATCTTGTTGGCTTTAAATAATTAATTGAGGTTGATGTGCCGTAAAACCAAATAAGTCAAACCAAACGAGACTCTATAAATAAAAAGTCTTTACAAAAAAATACGTCAATGAAACCTGATGTACAAACTGATTTCTTACAAAGAATACATAATCTATTCATACGGATCTATTCTAAAAATCTTGTCAGCTTTAACTAACTCACGGTGGTGTTGATATTCCGTAAAACAAAACAAGCAAACCAGCCATGAATTTCTGAAGGAACAAATTATTACCACCAATACAATTTTGAAAAAAATGATATATTACCAGATAGATAGATAGATAGATAGATAAAAAAATATTACCAGCAATAAAAATCGTGTCTGCATTAAATAACACATTGAGGGTGATATACCACAAAACAAAACAAACCAATAGATAGATAGATAGATAGATAGATTACCAGGAATAAAAATTTTGTCGGCATTAAATAACATTTTGAGGTTGAGATGCCAGAAACCAAACCAAACCAAATCAAACCAAATCAAACCAAACCGATATATACTGAGATAGATAGATAGATAGATAGATAGATAGATAGATAGATAGATAAAAAAAGTATTACCAGCAATAAAAATTTTGTCGGCATTGAATCACACATTAAGGTTGATATGGCGTAACTTAAACCAAACCAAACCAAACCAAATTATATTAAGTATTTAGCATTTATTAATTCAATATCTTGCACTTAATTTCTTGATTTCATTACAGTGGAAACCCGATAATATAAACAGGCGATTACATTGCAAAACCCATATTTAGTAAACATTTTGTAAATCATATACAATGAAATAAATATATTAACAACACTTTAGAGATTTAACCAAACAGGTTTCATCGTTTAGCATTATTCATCATATTCATTATATACATTCACGTCGTTGTCAGATAGCGAAGTTAAGTCTCAAAGGGAGCTTACTTTTACACCTTTCCATTTCTTGTTGAATGGTGTGTAAGGGCGTTAGAATGTCGTTCCCCACGCACCACAGTGCATTATTTTAGCATGTGGAGGAGAAGAGAGCGATGCTGTCTCAGTTTATCCACTCGCAAGTCGCAGAAATCAGAGAGCAACCCTCATACTACAACTTTCAACGCAACCGCGTGATGCAGCCTGCAGTAGACCTAGTTTTATTTCTATTATCTATAAAGGAGATGGCTTCTAATCTCGGGAAATCTCAAGGATTTTACATTTAACGTAATTCGTGTTTACATCATCATCATCGTTTCGATTTGAATTAACATGTTCTCTCATCTTCCGCGACATTGTAAACTTATTCGACAATATTTTGCCAGACATCTCTGTCCGCTGCAAGTTTGCGGATTCAGTGCAGATCTCTCCAAATGAAAAGTAGGATCTTTCTGTCTTGTTCTTTAAATGCCTCAGTTCAGCGTTGTGACTATGGTGGTTTTTGGTTACCACTGAACATTTGAAATCAGTCTTTTCAAAGTAAAACGCCATGTTTTGTTACCTGGTCATTCTGGATCCATTCTCAAAATATGTCCAAAACTTGTCTCTTGTAAGCCACACACCACGGCCGTTTTGTACTTTTCTATGTCTGTACCTAACTGCTCTGGATCAAGCTTCGTACACTGAAAGTTCCAATTAAAAAGATCATAAAATTGGATGTTTAATAGCATTTTCTGAATATTGTCTTTCTCAGTAGGCAATGTCTTAAATAAGTAGTTACTACGTTGCAGTAACAAGAGTAGCCATTACGCACTCCGCCAACCATGGTTTAACGGCGGAAAATTATTAAACACAGCAAAAAATATGGCGACAAAGATGAGGACAATAGTCCGAATAATGTAAATAGTGTACATAATACCTCATTTCAGAAATATAGACAGATACAGAAAGGCCGAAACGTTGTAATAAATATGGCGACAAAGATGTGGACAATAGTCCGAATAATGTAAATGGTGTACATAATACCTTATCTCAGAAATATAGACAGATATTGAAAGGCCGATGCGTTGTGATAAATATGGCAATAAAGATGATGTCAATATTCAGATAATGTAAATGGTGTACATAATACCTCATCTCAGAAATATAGACAGATACAGAAAGACCGAAACGTTGTAACAAATATGGCGACAAAGATGAGGACAATAGTCCGAATAATGTAAATAGTGTACATAATACCTCATCTCAGAAATATAGACAGATACTGAAAGGCCGAAACGTTGTAATAAATATGGCGACAAAGATGAGGACAATAGTCCGAATAATGTAAATAGTGTACATAATACCTCATCTCAGAAATATAGAGAGATACATCTGAAATCCATTCAACGTAACCATTAAAAATAATCATATGTGCATTTCTACATACGCTGTATTTTAAAGTGATATATGGACGCAATTGTCTTTTTTTCGTATCAATGCTCTAAACTTCCGTTCTTTTATGTGCCATGTTGCTTCAGGACATTGGTAATCGTAGTTTCTTCCCTATGTTAAAATACTTCCTAATCATTTTTTCTACTTGATTTTGGTGTCAACAATTGGTATTTCGCATGTTAAAATCTTCCTTTTGTCAACAACTATGCATTTTGTCTTGTTACTATTGGGGTTTATTCATTTCTTCTACTTTTCTTTTAATACATTCTGTAGGAGTTCCTGTAGATTCCATTCTGTTTTTGCTATCAATACTGTATCATTTGCATATCCTATTTTGCTAAATTTATGGCCGCCAATAAAGAATAGTTGTAGTACTTCTATTACTTTCTGGTTTAGTTTGGTCTCTTTGTTTTATGGCATATCAACACCTCAATGGGTTATCTAATACCGACAAGGTATTCAGTGAAATGATTAATTAACTTTGGTTGACTTTCACTTCTTTCTTCTTGTTAAGTATTTATTTGCAGTTGTAATTAAATACTGTTTTTTAAACATTGAATATAATAATAATAATAATAATAATAAGCACATATACTAAAATATTGTGTCAGCCCAAAATGCAGATTCTGTGATAAATATCCAGAAACGATTGATCATCTTGTATCAGGTTGTACGGTATTGGCACCCACTGAATATAAAACCCGACATGACAGAGTGGGCCAATATCTGCACTGGAAAATCTGCAACTTCTACGGGAAGAAAACTGAAAGAAACTGGTATGAACACCACCCAGACCCGGTTACGGAGATAGGACCTGTTACAATTCTATGGGATTACACAATACACACTGACAGAACAATCAAGGCCAACCGGCCAGATATTGTTATTAAAGACCACAAACAAAAACGGTACCTCCTTATTGATATGGCAGTCCCTGCTGACTGCAATGTATCTTTGAAGATATTCAAAAAGCTGTCAAAGTACAAGGACCTTGAAATAGAAATCTCGAATATGTGGCATATGGGAACATCAACAATCCCTGTTGTAGTTGGAGCCCTAGGACTGGTTGGAAAAGATTGCAGTAGACTAATTGAAGGGATTCGTGGAAGTCCATGCCTCAAGGAGATACAAAAAATTGTTCTGACAAGTACAGCCCACACCTTACGAAGGGCTTTATCTATGTAATTTATTTATTTATTTTTTTTTTTTGTCTGTGGAAAGTGTCATGACGCCATTTCTAACCTTAGGTCCCTGGGCGGGACCCGGAAAGAAATGTGTAAACGCCAGAAATCAAAGAAAATGATGATAATAATAATAATAATAATAATAATAATAATAATAATAATAATAATGTGACCCATGGGAACATCAACAATTTCCGTTGTATTTGGAGTCCTCGAATTGGTAAGAAAAGATTCCTGTAGATTCATTGAAGGGATTCTTGGAAGCCCATGCCTTAAAGAAATACAAAGAAAATTGTTGTTACAAGTAGACCAACACACCTTACAAAGTGTTTATCGATGTAAAATATGTGCGTTTTAGTTGGTCAGTGTAAAATGCCATGATGCAATTTCTGACCTTAGGTGCCTGGGCAAGACCCGGAAAGAAATATGTACACACCAGAAATCAAAGGAAATGAAATAATAATAATAATAATAATAATAATAATAATAATAACGGTAATGCTACCTGTTTCCTCATAAGGAAACACTTAACATTTAGTGACAGAGAATCCAGTCGTTATGTCGCTTGAAATTTATTAAAAAAATATGTTAAAACAATTCTTCGGGAAATTAGATTTCTTCAAGTTCAGTAGCTGTTATCAATCTTGAATTAGTGTGGAACAACAACCGCTTGATAATGTCATTATTTCTCTTCTAAATACAAGTGATATTAATTTTAGTCGTTGTTCTTGCTGAAAGACCTCAAGTGATGTGGTTTATGTTAATAGGTACAGTTCTTTGTTTGCAACTCTGTAGCGCCAGTCCACAAGGTTAGAAGAAGCATGGCCTTCACCGAGACCCACACACTCAAAGCCATTTTTAAGCAAAGATCTTAGAAAGGGAATCTATAGACAGTCTAGATATTTTTCTAATGGTTTAACGTTATGCATGACGTCTTTATGTAAGTCTGGATCTGACGAGAACATGACTAGAGTTTTCAGGTTAATGTTTTGAGTTTGACGCAATTTTTGGTGTTAAGTGAAACTATTTCAATAGATAATGATTCCTAATGCTGATTCCATGACAATGAGCCGGGTTGATTGTTCAACGGCACCAGATACAACGGATTTCTAACAAATAGTAAAGTGTTTTCCACCGGTACCAGTGGCCAGGTTCGAGCCCAGGTAAAGGTCAGTATTTCTTATGCTATTTTTCGGCTCGAACACTCTAGTATAAATCTTCTGCCCAACATTAATCAGCTAAGTAAATATCGCGTGAGATATTTACAGCAATTCTCTTCCGATGCAATAGCCAAGCATCTCTTGATAATAAAGCAGACTTCTCATTTCGATGTTCCTAATCTGCATTTTAACATCGTTTATTCAATCAATAAAGACAACCATTCTATGCAAGGAAAATCGTAACAAAGATGCCGTTGTGAAAAGTAACATTTCAGATAGATGTCCTCTTTCTTGATTTTCCAAGCGTAGCTTGGATGTGGCATAAGGCCGAATGCAAAGGGCACGCAGGGAGGATTAAACTCACTACTCAGCTGTAATTGTTTTAGCGAGACAAGCTTGCTAACCATAGACCACTTCTAGATGCCTAAATATTGTGATTTTTCAAGCGTAACTTACATGTGGCACAAGGGCGGAAGTATGGGGCTCCCAGTGAGGATCGATCTCACTACTGAGTCGTAATTGTTCTAGCAAGACAAGCTTGCTAACCACTACACCGCCGCGGGGTGCCCTGATTTTCTAAGTGTAGTTTAGATGTGGCACAAGGCCGAAGGTATGGGGCACCCAATGAGGTTCGACCTCACTACTCAGTCGCAGTTGTTCTAAAGAGACAAACTTGCTAACCATTACACCGCCTCGAGGTTCCCTCCCTGTCTGTTACTATCTATCTATCTATCTATCTATCTATCTATCTATCTATCTATCTATCTATCTACGTGTGTCAGTATCTATCCCGGTCTTTTCATATCTATCTATCTATCTATCTATCTATCTATCTATCTATCTATCTATCTATCTATTTCCGTGTGTCAGTATCTATCCAGGTCTTTTCATATCTATCTATCTATCTATCTATCTATCTATCTATCTATCTATCTATCTATCTATCTCCGTGTGTCAGTATCTATCCCGGTCTTTTCATATCTATATATCTATCTACATCAGTTGGTTTCGTTATCTATCTATCTATCTATCTATCTGTCTATCGATCTATCTATCTATCTATCTATCTATCTATCTATCTATCTACTTCAATTGGTTTCGTTATCTATCTATCTATCTATCTATCTATCTATCTATCTATCTATCTATCTAATCGCAATTGTTCTAACGAGACAAACTTGCTAAACATTACGCCACGCAGAAATTCCCAAGTTAGCGCTAATGTAAGTAACGAGACATATATACATCTGTCTTTCTTTCTCTCTCTCTTTTTTATCACTCTCTGTCTCTTTAGTTCTCACTCCCTCTACCTATCTCTCTCTTTTTCATCTTTTCTCATTTTCCTTTTTTTCTTCTATTTTTTCTTCTATTCTCTTCTTCCTTCTTTCCCTTTTTCTCCTTTTTCGCTTTCTTTTTTTATTATTTCTTTTTGTTTTTCTCTTTTTTTCTCTCTTGTTCTTTAATACGAGAACATCTAATACTCCTAATATCATAGTCTCTTGACCAGTGACATTTGTGATGTCTTCCTATCATACTATGAGACGCAGCAATGAATTTTTAGTATACATATAATATCTCTAGTGTACCGTATTACTTGCAGGCATTCTTGATTATTGGTAATATCCTTCTTCCTGATTTTTCAATATCTCAGCGAATAAGTTTCGGGATCGTGTGTAGTCTTATGGTCGCTTCGCAGTTTATCAAATGATCATTTTCTTCCACACATCTGCGTTGATATTCGATGTATTAATTTATGTGTAGCGTATCATGTAGATGTAAAACTGACGGAACCCCTCCATCCCCAGGTCAAACTACAGTCGCTTTCTGTCTGTCTCTCTTTCACCCTTTGTCTCTCTAGTTCTCACTCTCTCTCTTCATCTCTCTCTCTCTATCTATCTTCCATCCTTACATATTTGTTATTTTTCTTACTTTTTTTCTTTTCCCTTTTTGTGATGTCAACAAACTTTTGTAATGCACGTTGTAGTAGAGACTTTATAATCGCAGTTACAACAATAGCAAATCCGTTGAACAATACTGGAGTCACTGGCTTGGATTGAGGAATCGGAGAGCCGAGTTCGATTTCCAGTCGAATCCATTACATTCACTTACGTGCTAATACCCTTGGGAAAGCTGTGAATCCTCTTCTTCTCCTTCCAGCTATGGGCAAATAGCAGGGCAGACTAGGTTCTATAGCCTTGAATGGCAACTGGTCTAGGAGAAGGAAAACTCTGAATTCAAAACCTGCGGAGGGTCGTTTGGGGATCTTGTGGCACGTAGTGCACCAGGTCTCTGTAATCGGCCCTTCAAAATGTGTGGATGGTCCTGCACGAAACCTTCAGCACTATAATCAAATCTCATGTGCTATACATGCGGGTTGGGGACCGCTTGTGAATTCAAAATTCCCATGAAACTCCAATATTGGAGCCGGCTCAACCCGCCTTCGAATAGCACACGAACTAATAATACTTGTATAATACTCGCTCGAATAGTGATACGTGTAGAGAAATAGTATAGTGAATTCAGTACAGAATAGCAGTTCGAATAGTAATAGAGAATAGACAAGAAATGCAGATCCGTATCGTAATTGATGATAGACTAGAAAGATATATATATATATATATATATATATATATATATATATATATATATATATACGTCTCCTCTATGGTCGAATGATCTACTTAATTCAATAATGTGATCGTTTCACTAGCGATCTATGTTCAAGAATCGGCAGCGACACTTTATTCTTTATAACACCTTTCCATTTCCTTCCACATATCTGCATTGAAACTTGGAGTTGTATTTATTTATATGTTGAGTATTTATGGGAAACTACAGACGCGCCTTGTTCAGTGTTACATTTCCATTAACTCGACCGGGTGTTTTTTCACCCTTCCGGCTGAAGACACTCAAGGAAGAAGTCCACCGGCCACCATCAGTGATGCTGAGTCATCACCGTACTGGTTTAATACATAGTTATGGAGCTCAGTCTAGAATTTGACTCTACAAAAAGATTCATTCACACTTTCAAATGTCTTATCTTGAAACCTGACTAGGCTGAATGGTATTTGGTACCAATCGGAAAGATATTTCGATTCGTCTTCAGATCTTGGCATCAGATATCACATAAGAACTTCAAAGGTCTTGTAGAATCCATTCCTCATCGGGTAAGAATTTTTGGATGTGCAAATGAATGACCAACCGCATATTACGACAGAGGTCATATAAAGTTTTGATTCATTAGTGTGGTTAAGTGGTTAAAGTAGTAGCATTCTGTCTCTAAGATCCTAGTTCGAATCTAATCATAATCGATTAGTGAATATGCTTGCTTGGTATCTGTCTGGGAACTACAATACAGTTGCTTAGTCATTGATGACATTACTACTAGTATACCCAATCGTTGTGTAAGAAACTGCGTAGACAAAGCAGTTCAGAAAGAGTCTTGGTTCTAGCACGAAATAATGTCATTGTGTGCGCGTCATTCAGCATATTGCCTTTGCTCAACTGCAAAACATACCAAACTATGTGCATCCTCTAGAAACTATAAATGAAGTCTACCTTTCAGAGTCACTTTATAAACCATAGGTCGGCTATGTGAATGTTGGCGAAGCACAAATCTGTATGAACAGATGTCTCCAACAGAGATAATTACCAAGCTACTCTACTTGTATCCACTAAATGTGAAATTCGTAGTACGAAATACACTTGCATATATATTCGGAAAATATATAGGGAAAAAAATGAGTAACTACCGACACCGAGATTCGAGCGTGACACTCTGGACTTATGACTACATAATTTCCGCCTGATGCATAAATAGCGGTGTAAGGCTACTGACTGCAGCAGTTATTGAGTGACTATTGAGTGGAACTATCCAGTCGAATTTGTGTGAATTATTGTGCGTCGATGATTTGGGGTTTGCTTTAGAAATTACCGGACGTTAAGCCGAGCTGCGCTACTAACAAATTATTCAGTGAAATGGTTACTTATCTTTGGTTGACTTTTCCTTCTTTGTTCTTATAATTAAATACTACTTTTTTTTCAACATTGAAGTCTTGAGTTATATTTAATATATATAAATATATATATATGCATATATATATATATATATATATATATATATGTGTGTGTGTGTGTGTGTGTGTGTGTGTGTGTGTGTGTGTGTGTGTGTGTGAGCACCCACATATTTAGGAAACAATCCCTCTTGTATATAAGGATTTATTAAAGACAACGGACCAGATATTGCGATAAAGCTTTTTATTCACTTTTTCTTGCGTTCCTATAAGCGTTTTCTTTTATCTCTCTATATCTCTGAGATGAGGTATTAGGATTACTTGTATTATTTACAGAGCAGACATATATCAACGGGATTAGGGCTTAGCATTGGGCTCAACACTATCACCAGTAATGACAAACCTATATATGGAATACTTTGGGAAAATGCCATTAGAATCAACACAACTAAAGCCAACACTATGGCTGAGATACGTAGATGACACCTTCATACTCAGGCCACACCAGGAAGACATCCAGCTACTACTAGACCATGTGAACTCAATGATAATGGATACAGTTCCCAATGGAGCGAGAAAATGACAGCAAACTCGCCTTCCTGGATGTACTCATATCTCGAACAGAGCATGGGTTCAAGACATCCGTATACCGCAAGGCAACATTCACCGTACAATACCTCAACTCCCACTATCAATACGCTTACAGCATCGAGTAAAAGTCATAAGTGATGATACAGAAAAAAACAACAGGAAATGGTCAGTATAAGCAGTAGCCTAACAACGACCCTTGTTCTTGTAAAGATAGAATATAGCAGAGGGCTCAGATACTTACTGAAACGGTACAATGAATCGATCATTTTCTTAAGATATATACCAATAAATCGTACATACGTGGTCCACTTGAGGTCTAGGGAAAGTTTGAGTCCCAATAGGCGTTCAAAGCAAGAAGTCTCTTGGAAAGGAGACATCCATCTTGATAGGTGAAATCCAGTCTCTGCAGTGATGGTGAAACGTGGCTAGTGTCGTTTTGGCCATATTGAATTTTACAAGCCAGTCTTTTCATCATTTGGTCAACTGGACAAGATTAAAGGAGAGATGTGGGGCTACGTTCTTGTCTTCCAGACGTTTTTTAGGTGCAACAATTAACTGTTGTATCATAAATACTCATTAAGGATAAGAATATACTCTTAGGCAGGTCATTAATATAAAGTAAAAAGAGTGATATAACATTTTCAAACAATAATGTTCAATACATTTGATTATCGAAACAATTTTGGATAAAGTGCATTTTCAATTAAGAACGTGGTCCGTAATAGATATTTTTGTGCAAAAAAATGCTTTCATCCATCTTTAGACTATTTGTTTACTGAGATGAACAATAAGCACACACACACAGATATATATATATATATATATATATATATATATATATATATATATATAAAGTCAACAGACAGAAATTCCCCATCAAAAAAACAACATCCTTGATTATGGCTTTAAAATTAGCCGAAAGCGTAATAATTATAATTAACAATTTTTATATTTTTAAACCCCCCGAAAAAAAATGGAAAATTTTAAAATGATAGAAAAACAAAAAGATTAATACATAAAAGGAAAAAGGGGGAAAATTTTTTTTATATATGATAGAAAGAACTAGAGCCCAATCACATTCAAGCCCAACAAGCAATCTCTCTGCTTACAGAGAAACGGCCTGCGGGACTTGATGTAAATGGACTCAAGAACCTTCAAATGATATGCAGAGTGTGACTTCGCCAGAATAGAAAAACAGTGAACACTCAAACCAGCAACACATTCCCTGCTAGTTATAGCGTGTTCCGCTATAGATGACCCGGATCTATTCACTAGTTGGCTTTTGTTAGCGCCCGGATTTAAAATTCTGGGGGGTAAATATTTAATTCTAAAATCCAAACGCTGAGACGTTCTGCCTATGTAGTCACATCCGCAACCACATTTAAATTTATATATAACTGAATTAATATGAAAGGGAGGCAGAAAATCCTTGCGTCTGGAAGAAAGAATTGGTCGAGTAAAAAATATTATTCTCACATTAGCAGCATAAAAACACTTACTAACGGAATGTGAAATTTGCCTTGCTAGTTTTTCCCCTTCTCTGCCAATGTAAGGAAGTCGTAAATAAATTGGACATTTCTTAACAACATACGGTCTATCCTTACTAAATTTATCAATGACATCATGCATAATGGAATCCAAAATGCTCAAAGGATACCCATTTTTAGAAAGAGTCATTTTTATAAAATCCAATTCACCTTATATATATATATATATATATATATATATATATATATATATATATATATATCATTGCAAATCTCAAAAAACCTGTCATGTCCGCTATCAAAACTACTATTATATTATTCTATAAACTTCTTTTCTTTCCCTTCTTCAGCCTCTTCTTTACCACTCTCTGTCTCCTCTTAAGGTGTATCTCCCTAAAGTCCAACCATTTGAGATGCACATGAGGCATCGAAACAAGAATACATCTTTGTAGTGAGTAATTGTTTTTGTCCACATGTAAAAATACATAATGAATATATATATATATATATATATATATATACCCAAGTATATAATTGGTATATATGGAATGAATTCCAATAACCAACAATTGCTATTCTTAAAAGAGTGCTCAATACAAAGTAGAGCAGATATAATTATTATTTATAAAAAAAAATATAACTTAAGTATGTCATAAAATCACTACAAAAATAGCCATTCGTTGCTTATATATTATAATCTGATTGTGTTTTTGTTGTTTTGCGCGTGAGTTTAAGACCACGTTCACACACTTTAGAATAAAAAATATATATACATGTAGTCAAATGACCGGATATATTGTAGCGTCTTGTCGAACGTAATTTCAACGAAGAAATAAATTGAATAAACATATATATTTTTTCT